TAAAAATTACATTTTGAATAATTATTAAATTATTAATTATTAAAAAAAGATGTAATATGATAAATATAATAATAATTTATTTAATAATTTTTAATAATTAAAAATAATATATATATTTGAATATAAAAACAATTTATTTTCTATTTATTTATAAAATTAAATGAATATATAAAGATGAAATATATATATTTATATATATATATATTTTTCAATAAATTTTTATTTGATACTCGTAGTATCAATTGAGAATCGCGGATCTAAACGATAAAACGATTCGCGATGTTGATTGGTCGAGAAATTTTCTTCCGGTTCAGTGAGTATATTTTTGGTGAGATTTCCCGCGCCATTTTTGGTTATCCTTTTTCGGAAATATTTTATTTTTATATATGTGAAATAAGTGATTTTATATGTAAAATAAGTCGTATAAAATCATAACAATAATTCATTTAATTGTGTAATGCTTAGAAATTTATCGTGAACTATAAATAAAAAAAATTTAAACTTGGAAATATAATAATCACAAAATTTAATTTTTTCAAGATCATTTTCAAATATATTCAATTTCGTAAGTAATAGGTGTAACGTAAAATTTATTACTTGCTATTATTTTTGAAATATTAAATTAAATTCATTTTGATCAGTGATGATATATTGTAGTTATAATATTTCTATATGAAAAGTAATCGTGCCAAGATGAATTTTTAAATCATCATCTACGACACTACTACTTAACAGACAGATTAACAAATTAAGATAACTTAATGGTAACTTTTCTCCACTTCTTCTGCTCTCGACAATTGCCTGTTGACTGCGTTGTACGAAATGCAGGTCCAAATATATATACCTAAATGCGACTAAAGTTCAAATTTTCTATAGTCATTAGTCAGACGGTTTTTCTTATCTTATTTTGTATCAATTTTTCTTAGAGTTTATCGTCAAAATTTAAGTAAGAAATACATCGTTGTCTATAAAAAGTATTACATATAGAACATTTATTAAATTTATATTTTCGTGTATTGTGAGACATCTATCGAGAAAATAGCTTAATATGCAAACATAATAACGAGTGTGTCTTTTTTCCGCTTGTTGTTACGGTCACAAATCGAAATATCTTCATAGTTCCTTTTTTTTATCTAAAAACATAAATAATCGTAATATTTTTTTAACAAAACACTGTGTATGTATAACACAATATTGAATTATGTTATACTCATTATTTTATTATTAAATATTATCATTTGTGCAAAATACATGAATTCGAAGTATTTTTAAATAGATTTATCAGTATAAATAATCAGTATAAATATCAGTATAAATATTGCTCACAGTATGAATCATAGATAAATTTTTTTGGTTGTTTTCAACAATGTGTTATCTCTACCAAAAAATATTTAACTATTTAGTTTAACTTTAAAATCATATCGTTAATAATTGATTGAAGGATTCTGAGTAGGTACACTGTGTAAATTGACGATAAACATTAGTCAGACATATAATTTAATGAAAGAAAGAAAAAAACAGTTTATTAATGAAATATGTGTACACGTATACCCCTATATCACAAAATGCTCCTATAAAACCATCAGCTTACACTTCGAAATAGTTTGGTTATTTTGTGATAATCGTCGCCTCTGCTTGAATCTACACATACATGATTTTCTCATGCGGGTCCATTTTACTGATTTAAAGCAACTTACGTAGCGAATAATGCATCTTTTATTAGGATACAATCCCTATTACATAGTCTTTTCTTCCGTCGATGCCGAACCATTGTGCATTGATTAAGCTAACCACGTGAGTCCCGTGAGATTTAAATAAAACATGAATCGGTTTAATGGCTATTCTTCGATAATCTTCAAATTCATAATCAGAAAAGTTTGAACAAATCTATGTTATTAAAATTAAAAACTAAAAATTAATAAAAATTATTTTATAATTTAAAAACTGCAATATCGAATTTGAAATTATCATATATGTTAAATCATTAAAATATGTTAATATTTCTTTTTTGAAAATGTATAAATATTGCCTAGAAAATACTTACTTTTTTTCATAATTTCGTTTTAAGTTGATTTTTCAAAAAATTTCTTTAATACATAAAAGTAACATGATTTTGTTGATTATCAATATACAACTAAACTGAAATGAGTATATCGGAAATATTTTGTAGCGTGTAGAAGACAAAGCGTACATGTGCACAAGTGTTTTTTTGAGATCATATGTGCTACATAATGATTTGACAATAATATCGTTCTTTTGTTTGGAAAAAAATATATATTTTTTCCAAAAATATATATTTTTCATCTTTGAGCAAAATATTTTCAAAATTTTTAAATATAATATAAATTATATAAATTGTATGATCTAATATTTTATTTGCTTGTTCTAATAAAAATATTTGATACAATAAATTGAATTTAATAGTAACAACTATTGGAATAAACTTAAATTTGAAATATCATATTAAATTCTCAAGTTAAGATTCAATTAGGAAACTGTCTGAGTGAAATTTCGTAAATTTTCCCTCGATTTTCATGGAAATTCATGATTGAACGAGGGAATGGCACCGGCCGAGTAATTTAGAAGAGTTTATTAAATTGGGTAGAATGCTGTGCGTAGGCCTACGCCGGATACTCGGAGAATGAATCTCATCCAACGAGAGGAAGTTCGAATTAACTCGAGCCACTGCCAAGGGGGTACGGCAGAACCCCATATACTATAAACTCTTGTCCCATTTATTCTTTGCACATTTATGCGTCATATACGAGAATCGTCGATGGGAAAACGTCGTTCCAATATAACGATTATATTTTTCATTCGAGAAATTTGAAATATCCCAAATTCAAATTAATATTAAATTTTGATTACTAGAAATAAAAAAAAAAAATAAAATAATCAATGAAATTTACGCGATTAATAAAGTTCAAAAGTGTAGAATGTAGCAGAGAATTAAGACTTATTAGAATCATTTGACCCTGCTTCTTATAGAGTACTAAGACTTTGATGAGTTTATTTTATCCCGGATAGGTGGGGAGAGTAAAGGAAAGAAGACAAAAGATCGTATCGCTGAATCGATAGAGGAGGAAAGGCAGAAAAGTATGTCGTTCATCGTGTTACTTGACAGTGTAGTACTTTGACACGATCAGGTCCTGTAGTATTCAATCTACGTGGGCGGTCATATGAAACGAACAAAAAAATAGAGATATAATTACTTAAGAGAGATAGATCATTTTTTGTAGTTTATCATAAAATTTATTCATGGAATATAAGAATTTCTTATAAATTATAAATATTACTCATTTTTACAAATAATAATATAATACATATGTTTATAATATAATGCTATATTATACAATATGTTAGATAAAATAATGATATTATTTTTTTTTTCTTCCTATTTATTTATCCTCTTTCACAAATAATATCGACGACACTAGGTTCCATTAAAACTGGTTCCAAACATCTATGTACAGCACTTCCAAGAATCTCATCTAGTAGAAAATGAACGACACTAAAAAAAATTTTCATTAAAATTATTTTTGTTTAAAATAATGGTATTTTAAACTTACTTTTCATCTGAAACAAATCTCCATAAATATAATTGTAAATAATGTGTGTCAACTTGAATTTGTTGTAATCCATATTTACTAAATGTTCGTAATCTTACACATTCTAGAAAAGTCTATAAATAAAGAAAAATTCATATTATAGGTTTTGAATGTTAAGTTTTTATAGTATTGAATGCATAAAGTATGTTGCGTAGTATGTGGTATACGCAACGCGAGAGAATAAAGTATCTTCGTGATGCAAAGTGGATAATGGCTCTGCTATTTTATCATTGTAACTGTCTGACAGCACCTGTTCCTATCGCGGTACTGTATTTGCTAAAAGTATTTTACCTTTAAACTTATTTTGATGATTCCGGTAAGAATAGATGCTTTATTAAATTGAACCGATGAAAAAATTTCGATACGTTCAGAAAATAATTTATGAATATTCGTCACCAACGAGGAATCTATATGATTCGGCGTATACGATGACCAGTTTGATCTATAATGATGTCTTGATACACTTACACTAAAAAGAAAAAAAAATTATTTAATAGAATATTACTTTTTACTTTACAAAGTATACCTATGAGTTTTTCTACTGCTATCGCTGCTTCTATCAACTTGACCATCAGAATCATCATATAATGCAGCTACTTGAGTATCGATTAATGTCACATCTTCTACGACTCTTTTCATTACAGCTCTTACTGTTCTCGGTTCAATCGTATGTAACCAGTCTCTTGTTTCGACGGATTTTCTTAACATTTGCGATACTGCTAAACCTTGAATGCGAACGTAATGATTTAATAAATTTTGTGCTGCTTCATGGAATTTATCGCATATTTCTAATTCAGTCGTAACGACATTCCCAGATGATGTGTATTGTTCAATATTGAATAAATCATCGGTAGTAGTAAGCTGTAATTCAGAAATATAAAAATGATTTTTTATAAATATGATTTTTGAATTTAATTTAAAATTATTCGCTCTACCAAATACTTGACATTATTTTCTTTATATTCAATACACATTTTACTCAATAAAAGTAAAAGAGTAGGTGAGAATTTCGGAATATCAGATCCGCTACAAAATCCACTTGCAATAACTATTATATGATGTAAAAATCCAACTACTAATCCTTCTCTAACTTCATCTACACAGAAATTTTGTAGAAATTGTGTTTTTAAACTAAATGATAAATCTGGTTGTAAAAATACCTAAAATTAGTAATTTTAAATTAATAAATATTATGGTTTTAAAAAAATGTTAAAAAGAAACAAACCAATAAATCTTGTAAAACTCCTTTGATTTTTTCAATAGTGGGTATTATAAGTAATGCTTGAAGTTCTGCTAAATTATTATCTCCTTCTTGAGAAGTTTTAGTTGTTAATATTTGTCTCACTTTAACAAGTGTTTCATTTAAATGAGATTTCAAATTATCTAAATGATTACGACATTGTTTTCTACCCGCGTTAATAACAATATTGGTACCTGTTCTGCAAATAAAAATACATAGATTCTTAAATCTTATTTTTTGTTCTTTTAATAAGGACGATTTTATCTTTGTTACCTTTCAAAATCTGTTTCTTTACATAACATATTCATAGCTTGTAATCTCCTATGAAACTTTTCTAATGCTTTTACTAAAATAGCTGTATCAGCTACATTTTCTACTCTTTTTCCAATTAAATCAAAATATTTTTTCATATTTTTCATGATAAAACTATTTAAACATGCAAGAGCTTTTGTATCAAAATCATCAATAAATTCATTATCTTCAGATGGTGATCGATTTATGAACATGTCATTATAAGATGCAACAATCAAACATAAATCACTAAGAAATCCTGAACTGGCCATATCTACAAATTCTATGATATCATTTTCACACATATCTTTTAAAATATCTAATTGTTCAGTTAATCTTCCATCTGCATGTGTCAGAAATTCAGCACATAAAGAATCAGCTGGTTCTTTTAGCTGTAACAATAGATCTATATTTTCAGCTAAAGCTTTAGTTGATGCATCTCCTTTATGAAATTGCATTCTCAATCTTGATTTAAGTTCCTCTAGAATATCTTCACAGTCTTTTTGAATTCCTTGAAAAGATGGCATATTGCCATATTGATTTAATACACGTTGTGCATGTATGTAATCTTGTACTGCCTACAAAAATTAAGTATACATCCTTATTTAAATATAATTAATTTATGTATCTAAAGAAATATAATATAATGATATAAAATGAAACATAAACCTGTGTATAATTTTCTTCATTCATTTTGTCTTTTAAATTGCCAGGCAATTTAAAAAGAAATTGTAATTTTTTCAATAATGCATGAACTGAAGATAATTTGGCAATTTGTTGTCTTGTACCCTGTAATGTTGATGAAATCTGTTCTGAAAAAGTAGTAATACTGTCCATATTTTTTGCTAATAAATCCATACTATCTTCCATTTCTTTAAAATCTGTTTTCATCTAAATTATGAATAAGTATTATATATAAGTATTATATAGTATATACATATGTAAAATTAAATAATTAATAAATTAAAAATAAATAATTGCATTTATAGAAACATATATAATAAATTTACCTTCCTGATAGTATCTGTAGCAGATATAAATTTATTATAATTTTCATAAACTAGAGTTTGCATATCAGAATGTAAAATTTGAGTATTTTTTATAATTTCTGCTTCATGATCCATAATTTGTTTTAATGTACATTCCTATATAAAAAAATAAATTATTATTAAAGTATCATTAAATAAATATAAAAGTTAAAGAAAATTGAAAAATGCACTTACTTTTAATAATTTTTGAAAATACATATCAGGATTAAAGTGTTGTCCATTAATATCATATGGATTATTAGAATTTTCTGCCATTTTGTCTATTTCTTTTATGAACAAAAACAGATTTTGACAGTAGATTGTGACAGGTTAGCTGTATTATCGTGTTATATATCAGTTATATTATTTTATATAAAGGTTAGGTGAAAGACGCTGTAACAAACAGCATAACCTCTCAAATTGCTTGAGAAAAGCGCAACAAGTGTAATATAAAAAAAATAATTTTTTACATATTTATTATTAAAGAAGATGTGCTTAAAGAAAAACTTTTAGTTATTGAACTTTTAATAATATTGTTTCTAAGAAACGTTTACTCGAAATACATGTAGGGTTGGAAAATAATGAAGGGGTTATTGCATCTTATTATTGAATTTTATTCTTTAAATACTGTAAAATTATATCGTGTACAAAAAGATTATAAGAAGATAATTTAATTTTAAATCGTTTGATAAGTATATTAATTGCGATAGTTAGAAAACATTTGGCAGAGATTTAAAATTTTTATGAAGCTGTGACAAGATGGAATTGTTTATTTGACAAAAGTATAAGCAAAAAAAACGATTTAAAAAAATGCCACATCCATGTGTTGTATGTGGACGTTCGCGTCTGAATCCAAACAATAAAGAAGAAGAATATATGTTTTTTGGATTTCCTGTTAATGATATACCTCGATGTAGAAAGTGGTTGGATTTTTGTTGTCGTGAAGATTTGTATAAACTTACAAAAAAACAGTTACTTCAACGAATGGTGTGTTCTAAACATTTCGAACAAAAGGATTTTTTAAATGAATACCTCGATAGATTAAACTGTAATGCAGTACCTTCAATTTATGATCCTACACAAAGTTTATATAACATAACCTGCGTATTATGTGGTCGATCTCGTCGAGATCCATCAGATAGAGATTATGATGGTGTAACTTTTCATCATTTTCCTGGTGAAGAATTTCGATGTCTCAAATGGCTCGATTTTGTTGGTGTAGATTCATATTACAGATTGACAAGAAAAGAAATCTTGTTTTGTTACATTTGTTCAAAACATTTTGATCGTTCTCAATTTATGTCTGGTTATAAAAGTAGATTAATAGACAATGCTATTCCCAATATCAGAAATCCTGATCAATTGGATGGATCTGAACAATATATTATAGAATTTGTACCAGAATCAAATTATAGTTCCTCAGAAAAACCCAAAAAATTAGATCCTTTACCACCTGCTGTTTTAGAAAGTCAAGCATGTGCAGCTTGTGGTAGATTAAGATCTGATCCAAGAAATAAAATAGAAAGATATAAATTTCATCCTTTTCCTGCTTATGAAATTGGCAGATGTTTAAGATGGTGTCAATTTTTAGGTAGAGAAGATATATTGAAAATGTCTCCAAATCAAATAAGAAAATTAGTACTTTGTTCAAAGCATTTTCAAACAGGACAAAGTTTTCATAGGGTAGGACCATGTGATGCTGTTCCAACTATAAAGGATGTATCACAATTGGATTGTATTAATTCAACAGAAAAAATTGAAGATGACCAAGATATATTAGAAGAATCTAATTGTACTAATACAACTAAAGGAATTAAAAGGCAAAATTTTTCAAGACCTTTAGTATCTAGTAAAAAACCAAAGGTAGATAATAAGCCTACTCCTCTTGCAAAGAAACGTGGGAAATCTAAAAGGCCAACTCTTATTAACATTCCAAGGCCTGATCCTAATAATATTGAAAATCGAGTAATAAGAAAATTACCACTTCCTCCTACTCCCAGTTGGAAGATTCAATTTACAGATCAACTTCAACCTATAACAATAGCAAATCATATTACATCAAATATACCAAATAATATTCAAGGTAATATAAAAAAAGTGATTTTACCATTTACTGGTGATATATCAAATTTAGGGGCTCCTATTCCAGTACATAGTTTATCCAGTATCCCTCCAGGTTTATTAATTAAAATAGATCTTCCTGAGCAAGAACAACAAAAATCAATGAAAACAATAAAAAAGCAAACTAGGACAAAAATGATACATGCTCCAACTACCTCTAATGAAATTGATTTTAGACAGCAAATTTGGATGAAAAATGGTCAAACTTCAGTCACAATACCAATTATAAAACAAAGTAAAGAGGAAACAGATAAAAATTTAGCAGAATTTTTGTCAACTTCTTTAGAAGAAACGGATGGTAAAGTAATTAGTGAAGAATTAGAAGTACATGAAGAAGTTATATTGCCACATTCATTGGAAGTATTAGATGAAGAAGCAGCTAATGTGAAAGAAGATACATTTTATGAAGATTTTGAAGAAGTAGAATGTTTAGCACCAAAACAAAAGAGATCTATGAGACGTAAAAAAATTTCAGGAACAATGAGAAGAACAATTTTTCCTATTAGAAATGAAGTTAAATGTTTTTTGCGCAAATTGGCACCTTATATGCATAGACTTCCTAGGAAAGCTAGAGCACAGATGAAACTTTCAATTGTTAATATGGTAATTGAGCAATTGTAAATTTGCTAAGATATAAATAAATGATAGTATTTTTAAGAATATATGATTAAGTATAAATACTTTAAATTTATGCACATTACTTACATATTGAAAGAGATCGGTCATATATCCTTTAAATAATGATAATTAAAATATATTATTTTTATTATATATTTATTATATCATGATGAGAGATAGGTAATAATAAGTTTAAAAAATAACAAAATTGTAAAGTACAAATAATATCTATAGTAAATTCTTTGATTATTTTTATGTCATTTGATTTTATTATTGTTGAGATATATATTTTTAAATGACAGAATATTATACTGTTTTTTGCAAATATCTTAATTTTTTTTTAATATTAATTAATTTTATATCTCAAATTTTTTAATAGAACTATCAAATTTTTTAATGAACTATAGTTCTAATATGTAATTTGTATATGTATTTGTATATATGTATATGTATAATAAATATGTATATATACATGTACATACAAGGTTAAATTTTGTTGAAAAAAAAAAATGTAAAAAGAATTATTGTGCAATAAAATTTTTTGAAAAAATATAAAATATAAGATAGCTACAAATTTAGCTATAATAAAATTATAAATTTATGTATACAAAAAAATAACAATTATTTTTTTTGAATATTTTTTCAGAGCAAAGTTTAATACTTATTTTATATATTTTAATGTGTAAATATTATATAAATTATAAATATTATAAAATAAGAATCAAAAGTTTAAAGTTTAAATATTAATTTTAGAGGTATTAAATTTGATACAGTAGGCATCCATATTTTGTCTACATTGTAAGCAGTAATATTTAATTGTTCTTGAGGATAAAGAAGTATTGGTTTTGAAATATCTTCATCTAATTTTAAACGGTTGTTTATCCACAAAACTTTTGCTGAAGCAATTGGTTCTAATATAAATGATTAAAATCAGAATATTATTTATTTTTATTGTATAATGAATGAATGTTTATTTTACTTACCTACATTTACTTTAGGTTTTAAATAATGTTCTGTACCAATATTATAAGATGTGAATTTATTTAATATTTCTTGGTAGTCTGTACACTTGCACAATATACCAAGGGGGTGCTCTACACAATTATCAAATTTGGAGTACATAATTTTCTATAGAATACTTTGATTCTGTGATTTAGAATAAGTTAATATCAAAATATTAAAATTGAAAATGTCTGAATTCAGCTACTTTAAAGATGTGTGAATATAGTAATCTTGTGTATAGATATCTACCAGTGATCTACTGTTTTTATTATTTTTGTTATATTAATGATGATTAATTATATTATATGAGAAATTAATATATAAGAGGTATAATTTATATAAGAAATTATACAAAAAATAACAATTAAAGCCATTGTTTATGTATAATACATATTAATACAAGATTTTGATTGTAATTAAATTAAAAAGTATATGTTTCAACATAATACAATCAAGAAGCCAGCTTCTCTGTATTTTTATGAGTCATATATAGTTGAAATAGTGACATTCTATAAATCACATACAGGTTATAAAAGCTGGATATAAAAACTGTATAGATAAAATAAAAATTTTTGTTTCATTTTTTATAATACTTATTTCTTTTTGGTTATTCAATATTATAAAAGCATCAATTAAATATTGTTATGCTAGATATTCATTTCACTGTATTTGTACCTTATATATTTATATGTTCATTAAGTGCAAGTTGATTTTTAAGTCAATGAAGATGAAAATTATTTATATATTACACCTAACTACGAAGACTTTGTAGTCTCATTTTCATTTCTTCAAGTTCTTTATCATCTACTTCTTCACTTTCTTCTTCTGCAGAAGTAGATGCTACAATAGATCCTGGAGTTTCTGTAACAACTGCAGGTGCTGTACCCAATTGGCCTGCAGTTACTTCCCATAAAATCTGTGATAGACATGAAATGTTTTATTAATATAAATTTTTTTATATTTTTACATATAGTAGATAGTAATTTACTTTGTCTATTTCTTCATCTGCTTCATCTTCTACTTCCTCAGAATCTTCCACAGATTCCATAGTTTCATCTAACATTTCTTCAATAATACCAGCTTTCATCATTTCCTTTGATAATTCTCTCATTGTCGCTGCTACTTCTGGAACTCTTACTAATGATTGCATTGCTTGCATTACTTCTGTGGATTTTGAAACTGAACCAGCAACTCTAATCGTTGCTAATTGATTTTTCATTTGTAATGCAACAGAGTTCATATGTGCCTTTGATGTATAGAGTTTGTTACAAGTTTTTCGTGCACGTATTATTTCTTTTGCTAGAATTTTACAAACATCTTTATCACCTTTCTTCGCTGCTTCTTTCAAAGAACGTTTTATTTTATCTTCTTCTCGCTGAATTGCTGTAAATAAATGTTATTAATTACATTATAATATATTCTATAAAATATTATTAATAGCTTACCTCTAACCTGTCTATCCAATTGATAGCCTTCTTTCCTTAATTTATGTGTCCATTCTTGAACCTGAAATACGATTTCGTATAAACATCGAATAGATATTATTATTCATTTCGATTCTAACCATTTCTTTTGGATTTTTTTCTGGAGATTTGCCAAACAAGCCCATTTTCTTGCTATGTTGACAGAAGTTCGTATCTGCCAAACATAACCACACTATCTTCTAAATTAGTCAAGGTAACCATTAAGATTACGTCATTATTGTATGAATCATCGATCTCTTTATGCGATAATAAAAGAAAAAGATTACAATATGTAAAATATAAAAACAAGAAGAAATAATCTATTTGATACAATAGAACATTTATATTACTAAAATTTTGATATTATTAAAAAAAAAATTAATTATTAAAATCGTTGGGAGGGTTTAATTCTTTTTAAGCTTTCAAATATTTTTTATTTATTTTATTTCTATATTAGATAAATTAAAAAAAAATATTACATAGTAGATTATAAAAAAGTATTAAACTATAGCCAATTAGATTATATTAAAAAGAGTATGATTTAAAAAATTATTCAAATAATAAGTATCTATCTTGTATTTGTACTTAGAATTAAATCTTTTAACCAGTTCAATACTTTTGTCGCTATTTCCATTCGCTTATTTGTGCTTTTTTCGATATTCCGTTGATGTCGATACTTTTCAAGATTTTTTCGATTTTCTATACGATATTTATAACTTGTTACATCATTTTTCTCGTCTGGATGATTGTTTATCCTTTCCTTTTTTATAATAGTTGTTTCCGGTTTATTGTTTTCTGAAATTCTAATAGTAAGTAATTTATGAAGATCAGCATCAGCGTTTTTTTCTTTATTTTTAAAATTTTTCAGTCGATCTCTCGATTGCTCATCAATCTTTTCCTTTGCGTCGAAATTCCACGGAGTTTGCACTTTCTCCAAGTTTAGAGATAAGTTGTATCTCTTCGCGAAAGCTTCTACAGGCATCAAGAAAATTTGTAAACTGTCGTCAGTTAAATCATATTTCTCGTTTGATAAAATTGATTTCATCGATTCGCGTTTAGAAATTTTTATTCTTTGCTTCGCTTTAATTGTTCTATCAGTATTTATCGCACTTGAATTTCTTTTTACGGTACGAACAATGTTACCTTTTGTGGGTACGCAACAAGGACATTCCTTGTTTAATAACTGTTCACAAATCTTTCTAGAAATCGATAAAGCGTAAGAACCATCGTTTAATTTTTTTATCTCCAACGGTAATTTTACACCATCACCGATATAAAATAGCTCAGAATTTCGAAGACTTTGAACGTCATCCTTATTATCTTCATTTTTCACAGTGATTTTTCCTAAATAAGTAAAATCTTGTGCAGGAATCGTATCCGAACTTTCGTTTTCCATCGATTTTTCTATACTCGCATCTTCGCATTTATTCACAATATCGACATTTTCTGTTGGATTCATTCTTGGAGAACTATATCCTACATTGTGATCTTCAATTGTTTTAATTGAAGATTTGTCTTCAATTCCCGAGGAAGCATCATTATCTGGCCAAGTTTCAGTCATCGAGTTATATCTTGGTAATTCTGAAAATTCCACGGTATCCTGAATTGTCTCTTCGTTTGAATAAGCTATTGTAGTGTCTTCCGTGGATTCAAAATTTCTTTTCGCTCCTATTACATCATTATCCGAAGATTTCACAGTCGATGAGATATCATTTTTTCGATCTGATATATCTTTTTTATCCTTTTCATACGCAGACGGTTGTAATGTAGATTCATTTTCCTTTTCATCATTATTTAAATCTGCTTCGTTTTTGGCAATTTCCAAAAATTTTTTCATATCGATATTCGATAAATTGAAATTAGTAGACTTAAACGTATTTTCCGTAGTCGAAATTTCTTCGTCTTCCATTTCCATGATATTCAATTCATCATTCAAAGTGCTTCGAATGATCGAATCGTTAAAAACATCATTGATCGGATCTTTTGGCTTCAAGGTATTTTTTATGCTTTGAACAATTATATTTTGAACAGCAGGATTCTTACCTGTTTGCAAGCCAACTACCGGATCACGCAAAAGACTTTTAACACTAGCTTGCAATCTTTTCATATCCGTCGAATCATCAAATTTCTCGTTTGAGGGCGCCAATGTAACCATATTCGTCACCCATTTACCATTCTTGAATTGATGCTCCTCCACAGCCAGTGGAGGAAGTTCTGTCTTTGAACTGGGCGCGGCAGATACCGTGTTCCGTAAATTATTCCTAATCACATTAGTTGCCCAGTCGCTGTCGAATTTCTTTCTATCCATTCCAGTCATTTTCGATAAAAGATTCTTTATTTCATCTAGAATCGTATGCTCTATTGGCGGCATGGACAAAATACTCTTCAAGTTTGGAACTTGGACAATTTCTGGTAATAAATCTTCGCTCTTTGCGGAACCCACCGTTTCCTCGTTGCCATCCATTTCAGAGGAGTCACCGGTGGCAAAATTATTAATTACAGTTTTTATCGATTTATGCAGCATCGTGTTGTCGCAGAATGGCAATGTTTGGTCGGATGGATCCTTTGGAAAACCGTCGGTTTTGACTGATTTCAGCGTTGATTCGAAGGAAGAAGGATCATTCTCGTTTCGCAATGGAATGTCATCATCCGGATCTCTTCCTTTGCTCTCTTCTTTGTCTTTATCATTGAGCTTTACGGTTCCAGCTTCGTCCAGGGACATCGTATTTTCAGGAATTAACGCGATTTTTTCCTCCACGGAAGAAGGTATCTCGTAATCCAAATTTTCTCGCTGTTGATTTTCCATGTTCTCCTCTGGATCCTGACTTGAATTCCAATCTGGATTATTTTCTCCTACTATACCTTCCTCTTCGTCTCCTCGATCAGAACTTTTTGAATTATCCATTTTCACGTCTACGTTTTCAGATCCTATTGCCTTCTCCACAGAATTATTTTGTCGAGAGTTAAAATTATAATCGTTTTCATATTTTGGATCATCACTCATAGAACCAGTACTATTTATAAGTAAATTATCGTAACCGGTTGATCCATCGTTCTCTGATTCGTTGGAATAAGCTCTGGACGTGAAATATGCGGCCGTAACTTCCTTGATATCGGAATAATCCAACGTTCCATTCCCCTTTACTTCGTATTCATCCTCGTGTTCGTTTCCCAAACCCGTGGATGATCCATCATTCGAATTTGGATCAATAGTGTGCACATTAGCAGGGACAACGGAGGGAGATCCAACAATTTCAGGCGGTGGCAAATGATTTTTATCAAAAGATTCCGACGGCATAGATTGCAAATTGTAATTGGAATCATTCGTCTCTTCTTCGAAGTCGTTTTTCGATGTATCTTCGTTCATGGAAAATTTTACGGTTGTAGGAATTATATTTTGAGCTCGAGACAGACTATTGCCAACCATGCTCGAAGGATCATCTGTTTGCTCAACAGTTTGTTGATTTTTATTTAAATCGTGTTGTAGATTGATCGGCTCTTCTTGCCCAACGACCGAATCGAGTCCAATTGGATCAAATGGAATATCATTTCTCGGTAGAATTGCTTGCTCAGCCGTATTTTTTGGCTCTAAAAGTGAAGGATCTACGCGATGAATGGTCGATGCATGTTTTCTAGGAATCATCGGATCCGCGTTGTTGGGGAGATAATACATATGGGGAAATCTGTTAGATGTTGGACTCTGGACTGGATTCATTTCGTTAGGAAGGTAATAGGTTTCGGGAAATCTGTTGGGCAAAGATGGAATTTTCGTCTGGGACGGTTGTGGGTCTTGTTTCTTGCCGACGAGTGCATCTTTTCGATCAGGTTTTTTCCCCCATTTATCTTTCCTCGCCAATGCTCGTAATTTCGAGATAATATCACGATTCGCGTCTTTCCCGGAAGAAGGATTATTTTTTTCTCTGCAGTAACAAACGAAATTATCGTCGTTATACACGTTTATCCTTGGTTCCGTTCCAGTTTTGCGAGTAGCACCAACGTTGAAATTATAATGAAGCAACTGTTTTCGAAGAGAATCTAACAGAGCCTCGTCACGGAAAGTTGCATTTTTTGCTTCCTCTATGGTCATTGATTTTTTCAAAGAAAGTAGATGCATGCTCGGTTTTCGACCAACAAAATATTCACGACGTCTTTCATTATTACAAGGGTCTCCTATGCTCTTCAACGTGGTTCGAAGGGTTCCTCTGGGAATCGGTGCGCCAACTCTTTCTCCGTGAAACAATGTCTTGCATCGTTTTGTTTTTTGCCCTTTGCATTCTACATTTTCTTCTTCCTTTTCGCTCGTCGGTACAAAAATTACTAAGCTTCTTTTCGTATCGAGTTTCGAATCAGAATCCAAACTTTCCGATTCATCGTTGATCTGATCAATCGAGGGGGGGCTTGAGAAGATAATTCTGGAAAAGAAATTTGATTGACGTTTTACAAAGAAAATTTATAATAAAATTTTTATCTTTTCTTCCCTTTTTAGCGATTATATCATGTATATTTTTTTTTTACTTATTTATTACAATAATTTTTTACTTTCTTTAATAATTATACAATAATATAGTACGATTATAGTAATTTATATAGTACGATTATATAATTATATTGATGTAATGGCAAAAATATAAATGAAAAGAGTATTTTAGATTTATTTTGAAATAATATATTTTGAATAAATATATACATAGTGCATTTTATATTATATAAAAAAATAATATA